CTAACACACTGTATAATTGTCATCTTTGTTTTGCCTGTCTCCCTCTAACCCATACTAAAACATATGCTCTACTAGGACAAAAATGTTTGTCTGTTTTGTCCAGTGATGTAGCCTTTGTGTTGAGGTCAGTGTTTGGCAGATAGTATGTGCTCATTAAATATTTGTTGTCTAAGTGAACATTTTATTATTTTTATTTTAAGATTTTATTTATTTATTTGGGCACCTGGATGGCTCAGTTGGTTAAGCGTCTGCCTTTGGCTCAGTTATGATCCCAGGGTCCTAGGATAGTGTTCCACATCCAGCTCCCTGCTCGGTGGGGAGTCTGCTTCCCCCTCTTGCCCCTCCTCCCTTCTCCTGATCTTTCTCTCTCTCTCTCAAGTTCTCGCTCTCAAATAAATAAATAAAATCGAGAGAGCAGCATGAGAGAGAGAGCATGAGCCCGAGAAGGGCCAGAGGGAGAGGGAGAAGCAGACTCCCCACTGAGCAGGGAGCCCAGTGAGGCGGCTTGATCCCAAGACCCCAAGACCCCAAGACCCAGAGATCATGAGCTCAGCCGAAGGCAGACGCTTAAAGGACTGAGCCACCCAGGTGCCCCACTGAGTGAAAATTTTAATGTACAAAAGACTGATAAGTTACTTCTATTTTTCCTTTTTTATTTTATTTTTTAAAGATTTTATTTATTTATTTGACAGAGAGAGACACAGCGAGAGAGGGAACACAAGCAGGGGGAGTGGGAGAGGGAGAAGCAGGCTTTCCACTGAGCAGAGAGCCCGACGCCCGGCTTGATCCCAGGACTCTGGGATCAAGACCTGAGCCGAAGGCAGACGCTTAACAACTGAGCCACCCAGGCGTCCCTATTTTTCCTTTTTTAAACTGATTGTCATGTCCTTTGCTTATTTTCCTATTAATTGTTCACAGTTTTTATTGATTTGTATGAGCTCTTTGTATTGTAAAGATATCAGTTATATGGCAACCATTTCCCTCAGTTTTTCCATGTTTTTACCATTATGTGTGTGTTAAAAATATTTAAAAATTTACGCAAACCTACAAATCTTTTCCTTTGTGATCTTGTGTTTTATTAGGACAAGTTTACAAAAGAAAAATTTTACTTTTAAATATATTTAAAGGGTGAGCTGTGCTGAACATGTTTTTTTTCTATATTGATTATATTTGAGTTTCTATTATTTGTGGATATATAGTGCTTAAAGAATCTGAATGATTTAAACTTATAATTATATTTATAGGATTATTTTTCTCCTTTTTTTTGTTGTTTTTGTTTTTTAGTAAGTTCTTTTTTTTAGTTTTTTTTTTAAAGATTTTATTTATTTATTTAACAGAGAGAGCACAAGTAGGCAGAGCACAAGCAGAGGCAGAGGGAGGAGCAGGCTCTCCCCTGAGCAGAGAGCCTGATGTGGGGCTCGATCCCAGGACCCTGGGATCATGACCTGAGCCGAAGGCAACGGCTTAACCGACTGAGCCACTCAGGTGCCCCTGTTTTTTTAGTAAGTTCCAACCCAAGTGTGGGGCTTAAACTTACAACCCCTGAAATCAAGAGTCGCATGCTGTACCCACTGAGCCAGCCAGGCATTTCTCTCCTGGAGGGCTTTACTGGGTGAACAAGAAGGGTTAAACTGTAACTGAAGTGTCTCCTTTTACATTGATTCAAGGAAAATGATTTGACGTACAGGATGATTAAAATTACAAAACATTTGTGTGTTTATAATTTTTGCATGTATTTATTCAGTTTTAAATATATTCCCCCATTTAAGATGAAAATAAAAGGTTACTAGGCTATAAATTTAAATCATTAGGATCTTATATCACTGGAACATTCATGGTAATGGAGTCCCCTTACAAATCCTATTGTGTTTCACAGTAAGTTCTTTCAAAGCTGAACTTGGTTGCATACATTTTATTTATTCCACCCCCTTTCTTGCATTTTAAATGGTAAAAATGTCAAGTTGCATAATGCGACTTTTTTTAAAGACATCAGTTTTATTTTTATTTTTTAAAAAGATTTTATGTATTTATTTGAGATATAGAGAGAGAGAGAGCAGGAGCAGGGGAGCAGAGGGAGAGGGAGAAGCAGGCTCCTCGCTGAGCAGGGAGCCTGACGTGGGGCCGGATCCCAGGATCCTGGGATCATGACCTGAGCCGAAGGCAGACGGTTAACTGTCTGAGCCAACCAGGCGCCCTTAATGGGACATTTTGAATTTTTATAGATACTAATTTCATGAACCAAATTTTAATATATTTTTTATCAAGAATACTATCAGAAAAATTTAGAAATATTATGATGCTTTTAGGAAAGAAAATGCCAATTCTTTCTTCCTTCCTTTTTTACTTTTTGTTGCTTAAAAGCACTTCTAGGGGTGCCTGAGTGGCTCAGTCGGTTAAGCGTCTGCCTTCGGCTCAGGTCATGATCCCAGGGTCCTGGGATTGAGCCCCACATCGGGCTCCCTGCTCTGCGGGAAGCCTGCTTCTCCCTCTCCCACTCCCCCTGCTTGTGTTCCCTCTCTCACTGTGTCTCTATCAAAAAAATAAATAAAATCTTTAAAAAAAATAAATAAAAGCACTTCTACTTCATTATTCAATTATGCCTTTTTGTTAAAACTGATTCTGATAACGTGCTGAGATATAAACATCTAGTCCTTTGGAACTTAAAAATAATACCATGAAGAAAATCCTTGTTATGGTATGGGGGATCATAAAACACTTTATTTTATTTATTTATTTAAATATATATATTTTTTAATTTTTATTTTTATTTGAGAGCAAGAGACAGAGAGCGCGCGCGTGCAAGCAGGGCGGAGGGGTAGAGGGAGAAGCAGACTCCCTGCTAAGCAGGGAGCCTGAAGTGGTACTGGATCCCAAGACCCTGGGATAGTGACCTGAGCTGAAGGCAGACACTTAACCAACTGAGCCACCCAGGTGCCCCATAAAACACTTTAATGTAGTTTTCCTTTTAATATTTTTCTTGCAAGTATTCAGAAACTTTAATTAGCTCAGGTTGGGTTGTTTCCCTCTTGCCATCCACAATAAAACAAGTTACTTAAATTCTTTAACCTATACATTACCCTTTTTTTCTATACATTACTCTTAAATTGGAGGTATTTAATAAAGATTAGGTTAATGTAATAACAGAAACCAAATGACAAAAATCTATCATAAAGTAAGTAAATCGTCTTATTCTCTTACATTAGGTTATGTGCGTGTCACCAGCGATCAGTTTAGACTCGGTAAAACAATATGGAGTTAGAATTCCTGGTTTCTAATTATTCAGTAGCTGTGTGGCTGGGAAGAAGGCTTTTAATGTTGCAGTATCTTTAAAATGGGCTCTAACTCCGAGGCCTGCCTCTTGCAGTTGTGAATCACTTGGGGTAATGCACAGCTTTGCAAGCTGGGTGTGTAAGCCTGAAGGTGGAGCAGGTTTGCAATCCTTCCTTCTGCCTGGGGGTATGTTGACTCAAGAGCCAGCTCGCCCCTCCACTAGCGCATAAACGGGCACAGCTGACTGGGGCCAAGCAGAGGACCTAGAAGGGTCTCTGCAGACCTTCGGATAAACAGAAAGCAAATCAGAATGGCCCCAGCCCTACCACCTACAGCTACTGTCCTCTTTAAACCTCAGCTGCTCTGGGTGTAAAATGAGCATAAATCAGTACTAACTACTTTAGAGTTGTTTTGAGGATTAAAGGAAATATGCATTATCTATCTTTCTTGCATAGAAAGTTCAGCGATAATGGGTGAAAATTCTCTTTTCTAACCCTTCTCTTCCTCTTTTAATGAAACCTCTTCTAAAGCCTGCTCACCCCAGCAGTGGCGGTGAAGCTTCAAAACAACCCCTTTTCAGTCAAGATCACTGCAAGGAAACTAGTATGATTTAAATCAGTTCAATAACACCAAGGTGTAAACGACTGGTAACCACAGGGGGCTTGCCAGAAAATTTTGCATTCTAAAAGAAGATTAACTGGAAGGATTTCAGAAAATATGGATTTTCTTTTTTTGGTAGGAGGGTGAATAGAATTCCCTGAACCCATTACCCCGACACAGAAACCATGCCTTGTAGGAACGTGGGAGGGGACATCGAAAACGCACATTTAATTAAAAAGTTCTTGAACCACAGAACGAATTCACCCTCCACCCCCTTCACCAAGGGGCCTCTAAGATCATAACGACCTTGGCCGTCCTTATCTGAGAATGAACCTTCGCTAGAGAGAAGGCGAGAGGGAAGACCGAAGCTCAACTGAATTACCAGAAAGGATGTTTTCATTTGAATAAACTCTACCCAGTTGTTACCTCCCCACTCCTCTCCGCTAACTTTTAAACCCTTCTGGAGGGGCGAGATGCTGGGGTTCAGGGCAAGGCGAAACGGCCGCCAGAGGCCCGACGGACAGGGGGATCCCCGGCGGGGCAATCTCAACTGCCGCCCGCTAGACCCCGGGAGGGGCAAGCAGGGCGGGGACAGCGGCGAAAGTTCGCTGGTCTACTCCGGTCCTCCCCCAAACCCGAGCTAGCGGAGTGGGGGGGGGCGGGTAGCCGGATCAGAGAGGACTTGGCAGTTTCCGGGAGGCTGGGGAAGCGACCCGGGGCACAGCCCGGCCAGACGCCGCGGTCGCAGTGGGCGTTCTGGGTTGCACAGACACTGCTGGGAAAAAGCAGGCTGGGAGGGCCGGCTCGCACCACCCCCACCTGCGGCCGCGCGGGGAGTGCCCGGACCGCGTGGGCACAGCTCCCAACCTCCCGGGGAGGGGCACACGGGGGAGGGCGGGGCCCCGGGAGGCGGGGTCGCGAGGCGCTCGGAGGCTAAAGCCGCGCCCGGAGGCTGGCGGGG